GTTAGTATTATTAACTTAGTTAGTTAGTTAGTTATACTACTAGTAAGTAAGTAGTAGTGTGTGTGTGTGTGTGTGTGTGTGTGTGTGTGTGTGTGTGTGTGTGTGTGTGTGTGTGTGTGTGTGTGTGTGTGTGTGTGTGTGTGTGTGTGTGTGTGTACTACAGCAAGATTAAAATATTCACATTATGATTTATATGTTCCATATATTGTCCCATGATTTAATACATATAGTTGACTACATTTCCGAGGAGACTGAGATTGGAAGACTGAACAGTAGTCAGTGTTAGAAGTCTCTGTTATGTGCAATTGTTATATAAATTCTTCTTACATATTCAACATATACGAGGTGTCATCAGATAAATTAAATTAGTTACTAATTTAACTTATGCGATCACCATACTTTAGTTACTAATCAGTTTACATACTATGTTTTGGCTCCCGAGAAGGACTGTCGGGTTTTAATACTGGGTTTTCACATTAGAGAGATTGGGCACTGTCCCCTCAACCTAGGTCTCCATGATACAGCCTGAACTGACTAGATGAATGGTTTCTAGAAAGGCATGTAGGTTTAGCAGTCTTCTATGCAACTGACTGTGTTGGAACAGTTTGATGGATACAGTAAGTTTCTTTTTGTGTGTTGTTCATATCCAATTATTTATTTTGGTACCATTCCATGACCTCTGAATGATGGGATAGATCAGTATTAAAGAGTACCTTATGCCTATTCCTGTTTATTTTAGGTGTTTGTCAGGATGTGTTTCTCTTACTTCTTAATATCTCTTGTATTACTTATCTTTTTTCTGAAGATCAGACAGCCTGTCTTTACACTTGCAAGGCTAAAATTGGGCAGAAAACAGACACCTGATTATGTAGCTTTGTGCTTAACGACAAACAATTATAACAACAATATTCTGATAACTTGGATAGGTGGAATAATGATAATCATAAACCCTAATAAGTGATTACCGGAATAACCCAAAACAATAATTATAATATTTTTGTGACGATCAATATAATCGTAATATATATTACTTTATTGTTGGTATAATCAAAAAATAGTAATAATTGAAAACTAATTGATCAGTTTAGCAGCCTGTATGGTCAATAACTGGTTGATATACCACTTCACAGTACAACATGTATGTAGAGATGTGTGTGCAAGAAGAGGTTTCTGGGGTTAGACACTTTCTAAAACTAGTGACCTGAAACATTTGTGACCTTATGATATTGACACTGTAAATATGAAGGAGCAAACAGCCACTGATATTAAAGAGTATTCAAAAGATACAAACACAAAGGTGTGTTTAATATTAGGAAAAGAAACGGGTGGTGTTTTACCTCATAAAATACTCTACAAAATATTTCAAGAAATGCAAATGAAAATTCTAAATCAACAGTAAAATTTTTTTATTCTTTTAGTAGCTAAGCTTTTACCTCGTCTTCAAATTACTCACTCTTGACAAAATTCTGAGATAATCTATTCTGCTAAGGTAAGAAACCACAACCTATTAAAAAAATAATCTATTCTGCTAAGGTAAGGAACCACAACGTATTAAAAAAATAATCTATTCTGCTAAGGTAAGGAACCACAACCTATTAAAAAAATAATCTATTCTGCTAAGGTAAGGAACCACAACGTATTAAAAAAATAATCTATTCTGCTAAGGTAAGGAACCACAACCTATTAAAA